GATCTGCTATCTTGGCGTTGGAGTGATCCTTCAAAAGAGCACCTGCATCAAACAATGCTGTCGTGCTAGTTTCCAAAATGAAGGCCACCAAAGCATCAACTTGGGCATTCTTGTTGTCAAGAAGCCCCAGATTTTGGCGTTGAGAGACATAGCTTCGAATTTCAGGGTAATTTTTTGTGTAGCAAGGTCGAGGAGCAAAAGCAAACGAATTGTGGATTCGTCTCTCGATCACATAAGACTGGCTCACATCAATATCAACATTTGGGATCACTTCAAAGTTCATCCAATTGTATAAGGTGCCGCTGTATGCAAGGACCTGACTGCAAGACAAAATAAATTCAATGGCAGATGATACGATCTGATCAGGCGATGTATTGATACCTTCGATTACTACATTCCTCAAAAAGAGTTTGAGAGTGTCGTCATTTTCATAGATTTTTTCCCTTAAAAGCCTGAAGAGCTTCAAAACAGATGACTTGGTTTCCCTCTTGATTTGTTTTAGCGTTTCATAATCGTAATAGAGCTCCAGAATCGAATGCATATTATCTTCGTTGAAGAACAAAGGAGGCTCGCTCAGATCTTTCATCTCGTTTTCAAGGTAAAACTTGAGCGAAATGGCAATGATGAACAGCTGGTTTCCAAAGCTGCTGCCCTCCCTTGGTGTGTTTGCCATCGAATATGGGATGGGATATGGAAACGGAGATTCCATGGATGCTCCATACCCCACATTTCGGACCCTTTCCCAGCAATTGACAAAAAGGTGATCAACTATCAACGCGCGAGTTTCCTGGCTGGTATTTTCCAAAATAGGGTCAAGTTCTTGATGCAATATCTTTTTGAAAAGCTCGACAGCAGACAGCGTAAGAGGCTCTTTGATTTCAAAGATGGTGATCGGGTTTCCGGTTTGCGATTTGAATACCTTTTTGTGTCTCAAAAATAGGAAACACTGAATGAGCACATCAATGACTTTCCAGTCCTTTTCATCGGGCTCGTTGGTGTCAAAGTTGTACAGAACGGAAGCATCCATGATTTCGTCTGCTTCGTCAAGCACAAATATCGAGTAATGTTCAATGAAGTGCAAGATCCTCAAAATCCAAACAAGAGATCTCTTTGACGTCTGCGTGTTTTGCAAAAGCAGTTCCTTCCTAGCATTCAGCAGGCATTGAATGCTGTTCATCGAAGACACGAACACATCGCCGCGATCATGGGCCATTGTAAGCCGATAGTAGAGATAGCGCAGATACTGTTCGCTGTATCCATAGGGCGATCGTTCTGATTTGAATTCGAAAACGCTTTTGCCGAAAAAGTCAAAAAGCCATTGCTGCAGCTGCAAAATATTCTGATTGAGGATTGAATTTGGAAAAATGAAAATCGGCAATTTCCTCAAAATTGACGTTGCCACGATTGCGGCAACCGGACCGAAGCGCGTGGTTTTTCCGCCAGCCATGCCCTGTTGCACAACATACGACCCTCCGTGCATCATCTTGTCTAAAATTGTCGACATAATGGTCCTCTGTTCTTCATACAACGGATATTTTGTGAAAAACTCGATGAGAATGAAAACCTTGTCCTGCACAGTAACAGGTAATGGTTGACTAACCAAAGACCTCCTCTTCTGAGTGGAAGCTTCCTTTTCCTCGAGCCAGGCCTGGCAAAAAGTATTTTTTTGCAAAAAGGAAGACTTGCAATAAAAGAATGTGATGAAATGGGACAACAAAAGATCAAGCAGCTCTGGGACCTTTTCAGCACTAACTGTGAAAAAGGCCCCGAGTTCCTCAACCGACCCGCATAGCAGCATTWGGGCAAGAAGCCTGGGGTCTTTTAAGGCACCCAGGGGAAGCCCATAAAGAGGCTCATCAGTGGAAACTATTGATTTCAATTTCTGTTCAATTGAGGCAGCATCACTAAAGAATGTAAAGCTTGCATTTGCCTTGAAAAGATCAGACGAAAGGGCATTCCTTTGCACGGTTATGTTTAGGAGATTTCCATAGTCGGCAGGAGGAGATGGGAGTACTGCAGTGATTCTGATCAATCTCTTATAAGGGATAAATGACTTGAATTCCACAGATTGTTCATAAATGTCCAACACTTCGTAAGGAAATGTGTTTTTTTTAAATTTAGCAAAAAAAGTTGCGAGTTTTTCCTTATCAGGGAGCCTGTTGAAAACCATGAAAATGACGTGAAATAAGCAGACAATTTTGTAATCGTCCTTATCTTTCTTTATTTCAAGATAAAATCGTATAGAATTGAGATAATGAGAATTCAATCTGCTCGTAAAATCAGTCAAGTCTTTGCATGATCCGGCTAAGTCGTATAGAAAAAAAAAGATACCGCTTGGGAAGCGAAAATATTGAAATTTACTCCAGTGCGTCAGCTTTAATTTGGAAAAACTATTGCGAGAAAGCTTATAGTCAGCATCTTCGATAGCTTTTTTAAGGTCAGTGATATTTGGCTGTATTTTTGACGACTCTGCATCACTAGAACCAATTTCCAACCTGTTAGAATATGCCCAAAGATATTTATCTTCACCGATGTTAGGAAGGAAAGAGAAAAGGAGCCTTTTGTACTTGAATGGGATAATGGAAATCAAATTTGCAATGTCGGTAATCTTTTTGACCCTATTCTCTTCATTTAAGAGACGTTTGAAAAAGATGCCATGTTCATCAAGAAGATGATTTGCCCAGCCTTCTATCACAACATACTCAAGATCACGGTATTTGATTTCGAGGATATTTTGCAAAATGACCAATTCGATCTCAGTGAGTTCGAACGAAATGCTCGTGTACAAGGAAACGTATTGCATAGCCCTGTCATAGTATCTTAAAAAGACAAGCCAATAGACGATGGAAAGGACGACCTCTCGATGATAACCTTCGATGTTGAACTTGAGATCTTTACACGTGGCCTTGAGAAAAGTAAACTTGTACGACTTTCCAAGTGGTGACATAGGTACCGGGATAACAGTGTAAAAAAACGTTTCAGCGGACACAAATAGAAAAGGCAAGTTTGACGAGGCGAAGAAATTTTCCTCGATCTCAGCAGGAGGGTGCATCTTCAATTTCTCACCCTTGATAACAGCAAAATACTGATCACTTCCCTCTTTTATGGCGTAAAATTCCTTTGCTGGGCCATTGTAGCTGTCAAACAAATAAAAGGATTGAGCCTCACTTTCTAGCGTAAAAATGTACGAGTCCAATGCAAAGTTAAAAAGTACCCCACGGGTCAAAAGCGCATCAAGCAACGATTGCGATGCCGAAGAGAAAGAGCAAAACGAATTTATGCGAAAAGAACAGGGAAGTGGGCTCGATAGCTCCTGTATGAATTTGGACGAGTTTTTCAAAAGTAAACTATTTCGGCCAGAAACCTCCCCATACTCGAATCCGTCTGAATCAAAAAGGTACACTTTGTCGATCCACCTATTAGAGTGGGTTTTGAATGCAATGATATCATCGTCGGATCCTACCATTTTGCTGTTGAATGCAACTTCGCGACGCAGTTCAGGCTGGAAAAGTTTGAACTCGTCAGAAACAAGCTTGGCTTCTATTTCACCATTTCTCAATAAAAAAGCATCGCTTGCATTTAGAAATAAAGGCATATCGTTATATTTGATGGTGGAGAATATTGACCCATCAGATTGACGCCGATGTAGCATAGCTTCTACTTTATAATCGCGTTTCTGTTTTACGTCCATCATTTTCCATAAACGGTGGTTAGGGAACGGAAGTCCCGAAAGCTGTATCCATTCTTCATTGACCAGAAAATTTCCATTCACCAAATTTTGGATTCCTTTTGCTGTTTCTGCTGCGCATCTTGATTTAGAGGATGAAAATTTCCAATGGTCATAATACATCCTAAGCACATATTGAATTTCTTCATCCAAAAAGAACGAGCTTATGAGCTCAAAATTCGATATCACCGACAAATAAAAGTTATGGCTATTGGAGAGGTTAGAAAGCTTTTCCCCAAGTATCAGCGCATTAAGCTTGAGAAAGGCGAAAATCGGCTGATATTCGCCCACGAAAACATGCTCAAGATCACCAATGTCGAGGTCGGTTTTTTGGATCAACATCAAGCGATTGAGGATTATTTGGTAATTTGCCAAAAGCTTAAACAGTTCCGTGTTATCGCCATTTATAAAAACTTCTGCGAGTATTTTCTCCTTCCGACACAAAAAATATCGGATAACTGGAGGTAGAGCCTTTTCAGAGTCATCCTCAGCATATGTTGATGGTTTTAGGATGTATGTGTAAAGAATTCCAAGTCCAGCTTCAGATAAAATGAAAGCATCATCTTCTTGCAGGTAAGTCAAGAAATAAAAAATAGACGAAAATTTGTCATTCAAATTCATCAAGTCCAGCGGTCTTTTTTCTTTCCAAAATAGCGATGAGATTTCTTTAGCATTACTGTAACCAGTTTTTTTAACCTCAAAATGACTTTGAGTATCAATTGAACTGTAAAAGCAAAATGAACTGGATGCAGATACAACATATGAATAGAGATGATCGTGTGATAGCTCGTGAAGCATGTGCAAAAGATTGTAATAATATGTATCAAGTAAGCAGGCTTTTGGGAGCACACCTTGGCTAGGTTTTTTAACGTTAAGAGGGTTCAAAATTACTGTCAAAATATATGCCATCCTTTTATAATGATCTGGATCATAACCATGATAATCGTCTTTCTCGTAATTAATCCGATACAAAGCGAAAAATTGTCTCATTTCGTCTAAATTCGGAAGGTCTTGGCTGCCTTTAAACAATATGGAGACCAATTTAGAGCCAAGTTCTTGATCCTCCGGAAGAAACTGAAAAATCTTCCTATCTGTTGGTAACTTCCTTTCTAGAAGATCGATTTGGTTATAATATGAAAAAGAGGGCGATAGCTTTTCAAAAATCGAATCATTAAGAAGCCTAAACTTATTTTCATCGCCATTCAGAGATGCCTTTAAATGCCGGGTGTATATTCGCTTGTAAATTTTGAAAATTTCAACTAAAATGAGACTCTTTTGGTAAATAAAGTTGCGACAATCCTCATATTCTAATAAACGCAGTACTTTAGCAAAAAATTCGTAAAGAAACCACATTTTATTGACATCGAGTGAATCAAATTTGTCTACCATTTTCACGATCCGAAACGTCACAGAATCCAGATACGAAATCAGAGGAATCTTTTCGCCCATAAAGCATGGCTGATAAGCGATTTCGTTGGCCAAAAAACGCAAAATTGAGTTTGAAAATTCGGTGAAATTCCCGCCATCATAAGTACCATCTTCATACTCGAAATTGGGAAGCTCGCAGTAAAACATGTCTCTAGTGGATAACTTTTCGTGATAACCAAGCGAAAAAGGCTTCCAATCTGGTTCGGAAAAAGAGGCTCTTATACCTCTATTATCTGCTATGTGTGTAGGAACTGCGTCGAAAATATTTTTCTTCCTTGCTATTTGGAATTGATCATAAGATACTTTCAGATCGTCAAAAAAGAGATGTTCTTTTGTCCCAAACACGCCATTTCCAATTTCAACCAGATATCTGAACATTGTATCAACAAGATCAACATTCCATCTCAAAAAATGAAACTTTCCTATCTCGTTCAAGGCGCTGGTATAAGATGCCAATTTTTCATGGTTAAAAGATCGAATTTTTTCGCGTCTTTCTTTCGATAGAAATGGAATTAAAGCCAAAAACCCTGTGACACGTTCATTTAAATAGCATTGTAATAAAAATATCGGCCCCGTCAAAAACTTGAAAGGAAACATGTTGGCTATTTGATAGATGAATCTGTAAAACGGAAGTAATATCGCTGGGAAAGCAAAAAAAAGGGCATGCTTGGAGAGATATTTTTCTGAAACAAGATCTGAAAATCGTCCAGATACAAAATCCTTCAGAGCGCTTGAAGACGCAACTGCAAAAATCTTTTTATACTCACTCTCACCGAGCTTAAATGTAAAATATGCATGATACGATGAAAAAGAACATGTTCCCGTTCTTTGTGGATCAATAAATACGTCATACGTTTCATTGGAGCGATCAAAATTGCCTAAAAGTCTAGGATAGAAATTCTTGATAACTTTTTCATACGAGCCAAAGTGCATTGCAGCCTCAACCCAGGCTTCATTGACAAGAAGTGGAGGACCTTCATATATGACCACTGGTGAATATTTTTCTTTTGGACCAACATGATATCCTGGATGATGCTCTAAGCCATTCCCACTGTTGTAAACAAGGACCTTCCATAAATGCTCATGTTTGCGATCAGGAGAGGTGACCTTGAAAATTTCACACAACATTGCATGCCCTGTAAATCCACAGTAGAAAACTACAGACTTTGTCTCATCTCCAAAGACTTTTAGGTCAGCACTTGATGGCAAGATTTCCAACTTGTTTACTTTTTCATAAATATTAGATGGATTGAATTCGGAGACCTGTATAATTGTGCCGATAATCTTATCGTAGACCATTGAACTAATGCCGTATTTTCCGTTCAATAAATTTGTCTTGGAATGCGAAAATATGGTATGAATGGCTTCGTTTGCATCTACTGCAGTTTGTCCCTCAAATACCTTCGGGGTAAAATCGTCTCCTATGAACTGGCAAAGATCTTCAATCTTCAAATTTTCGCTCAGCACGGTATGAACAAGTAATCCAATGCATATGAATGCAAACCTCATAATTCTTGTCATTGTGTTTATGTACATCAAAAGCTCGGTGTTGTAAATGCATCTTTTTAATTAAAGTCCGATTAAAATGAAGGCTATTGGTGCTTGATGCACGCCGCAGATTACAGGCCAATTCGGCATTTAAACATTCCCGAATTTGCTTCCATTTTACAAGTTTTAAATTTTCATATGACAATTAAATGGTCTATAGTTTGATTCTTACGCTTACCACGCATTGATCACGAGATTCACAAAATTCGACATCGCGTATCGGGCATTTTCCAGTATTTTGGACGATTTAATTTGTCCTTGCACACTTTTAACCCACTTTTAACCCACTTTCAACTGCAATTCATCCAGTCGAGCTAACTTACGGATGTGCACTTTTAATGCCCCATCCTGTGGTTGGTATTTTTAGTTTATAGCACACATCGCCAACTTTGGCTCGCCCTTAAGTACTTCTGATTTGGATCGGATTATTAACCCAATCAGATCTATTGAATTGCGCTTAATAAGCCCCTGAACGGTCTAGCTAGCGGTCGTTGACAGCTCTTCGCACGGAACAAGTATCTAATCCCGATAATTACATTTTTATCGTGAGATAAAGCATAATCATAAGCCAAACGCAGGCTCGCTCCAATTATAAGATAAACAGCCAACTAAAAGGTGGCCCCTTAACCCGATTTAGCCTTCTGTAATTTTCTGATTAGTAACAGTCAACATTCGGATTTTTTATCTTTTGGCCAAATATTTAATTTATTCGGGAATTTGTTTACAAGACTGTAAAAAATAACGAAAAGAAAATTTAAGGCTGCACTGCTCTATTTGTAATCAGCTGATTAAAACCTCTCAGGATTACTTTTGTGCCGTCAATTCTAATAAGCAACACGACTCGAAAATAGCTTAGCTTAGCTTAGGATAGGCTAGGCTAGGCTAGGTTGTGCCAAGACACTGCTACTTGAAAAAACTATGATTGGAGTTTACTTCCAACTCGAATTTACCCGTTCCGATTGTTAGGGTTAGAGTTACAGAAAAAACAGTAGCATCTCTATGATTCGAAGAAAATACGAGGAAAGGGAGACATCTACATTGGTACCACTTTGTGCATCATGAACTTTTGAAAGTTGGGTTTAACCCCAACTCTGGAATATTTTTAAATCACCAGCAAGCCGTGTCTCTGAATGTAAGGTTAGTACTAGAATGTTTCTGACTACTCGCTGCACGTTAAGAGAACTTTCCACTTAGATTTTAAATAGCTACAACCCTAAATTTTTCGTGTAAATTTAATAAGCAATTTTGGGTTAGTTCACACTAAAATGAAGACACGTCACCTGATAACTCGTTAGATTTTTTAATGAATCCTAACCGCTTAAAATATCTGTTTGTTCTTGTCTTTTTGAGTTCCTTAACTTCCGCCTCTTTAACTTGGTACTTTCGCACTTTTCGGTTTTTTTTAAAATTAGGTGGGCCATATATTCTTGCCATTGCACTTGCTTTCCATAATATTCCAATTATCCCCTCAGGGCCAAAACATGATCAAAATCTTTGGATGTCTCAGGGTGAATACCTGAAATATTCATCTTCAGCTTCTATGAATGCAAATGCTTATTATAACAAATCCCTAACGCCCACCCCTGATCTGAATATAAAAACTTTCAAAAATGGAAGGTTTACAGAAAAAACCTTGGGTCTACGGTCTAGCAACAATAGCATCGAGTCAAACAAGGATAATTCGAACCGTTCAAACATTGCATCTCCAACTAAACACGTAGAATTTAATACTTTAACTCGCAATATCGCAAAGATGCCCTCAAAAAAAATTGATGATTCAGGGTTCTCTTCAGAAGAGCTTGATTATTTAAAGTTATCACAAAATATGAACTCAAATATACTTATATCTTTTTTTATCCACAAATTTTCCCTTGAGGCAGGGCGTTCTTTTGCTGTTTCTTTCTTTTATTTAGGTGGAACGCTTGGATCGATTTTTACGAGATTTGATCCGAAATACACCACCGAAAAGTATCTAAATGTCAGTTGTATACTCTTATTTTTTGGAGCAATTTTGTCCTATATTTCTAGCAATTGGATCATCTTGGCTATCGGGCGTTTTCTTCTTGGAATGGCTAGTGGGATTGCCGGCATAATGGTTCCTATTTTTTATGGCGATTTACTGATGGTTGAACATTCCGAAAGCGAGTATCTGTCGTTAGCAGCTTTTTTTGGAATGATTTATCCGCTAATGGCCCCAGGAGAAATACTTTTTGGTGCTCTCATCAAACAGTATTTACTGGATAACGATTATTTGACCTGGAGAGGTTTTAATTTTGTAACTGGAGTATTAGCAATAATAGCGTTTATTCTTCTAAACTTTAATTCTTCTGAGAAAGATCCAGCTGTTAAAAACCAAAAGGCTCCTGATGCAAAAAGTTGCATCCAAAAAATGCCTAAACAGACAATGGACAATTTTTTGAGAACATATTTTCAGGAAGAAAGTAAGTTCTTTACAATTTTCCTCTGCCTCAATATTTTTCAACAGTTCTCTTTCATTAACGGATACTTTTCTTATGCAAAAGAGATATTTGGCCACCAGCCGAATATTTATATTCTTTTGGGGGTTGCAAATTTCGTTGGAACTCTTTTCAATTTTGCAATTAAAAATCTAAAAGACCCGAACGATACATCCGATCATTGTCTTGCGCATATAGCCAATACTTGGGCTATGAAGTATATCGGTCTAATTAGTGGAACTGGATGCACATTTTTTTCCTTCTTAATGTTCATTGGTTTCTCGAAAAATCTGGAGGTCCTAAAATTTCCTCCAGCATTGGCTTTCGTCGTTTTTTTGCATTTGGAGTTGAATCTATCCCTTTGATGATTAATCCAGAAATCACAGCTCAAGACTTTCACCAAAATTATTGTTTATTTAGATCCATAGTGAATTGGTCCTGTGGTTTCTTAATTACCTATACCGCAAATATGATTTTTTCCACTTTAAAGGAGGGTTCACTTCTCTTTTTTGGAGTCTTTTCCCTTGGTTTTACGCTAATTATGGCATTATCTGTTCCAGAATTAGACAAAAAATCCGATCATTTCTCCTATTAATCTTATTTCGCTAGAAAAATTTAAACGAGATCTTGAGGCGAGTCATAGACTTTTAAATCTTTAATAAAATAGAGATTTTTCGAATCTACAAATTAGAAATGACCCGCTGGAATTATAAAATATTTTTGAAATGCATGCTGATCGCCCGGAGCAGGTGGGATCATAGGCAAGTTGGTTGAAAATTTAGGGTTTAATAAATTGGATATTGAAATTATTTGATGTCGTCGCACACAATTGATGGCCGCACCTATAGTCTCAACGGTCAAATCGGGCGGGGCTCCTCGTCAAAGGTCCATTTAACCCCTCCAATTGCTAGATAACGTGAAATTTTCCCTTAATATCTTACCACCTACTGACTTGCCACTTAGATATCCTCCTCTAGTGGAATCCTATGCGAAACAGAAGCTACAGCATATCTCTTCTCAATTTCAGCGAGAATTTGCTTTATGAATCTACATGGGTTTCCTCATCGAGATATTGAGCTTTCAAAAATACTCGTGACAGCAGACCTCGTTGACGCTGTAGGCTTCCCCTTCCTATTGCGACATAAAAACTGGCCGATTTAAAGCTTTCAAGTGCCGACTTCTATCCAATGAAGTGCGGAACGCCAGCATATTTAACCCGTGTAGGAATATGGTGTTGGGTGGGACCGCTCGCTATTCATAGTCCATTGATGTGTCGTCATTTGGCAAAGTTGCATATATATTGATGAGTGGAAATTTTCTGTCTCCAAGATTCTTTTTAGCGATTTTGCTGGACAGATTTTAGAAAGTGCTATCTCGTTGTTGTGAGTATGGAGATGCATGCTTGAATTGATGCCATCTTTTGCTTTTAAAAACATGCTGTGAATTGAAATTAATTTTCCGGCCAATATACACAAACTGTGAGTCCAACAAAAAATTTATTAAAATGTCCCATTTGCGAATTAAAACATTGCTGTTTTGATTAGAAAGCTCAACAAAGGCTTTTTGATGCTCTCAGGCGTCTTGCTCACGCTAAACCTTGATCGCCTTGCAAGTTTTGCCATCATCGGAAACCAAAGGCAAATTAAACTGATCTAGATTGAAGGGCTTTTTTGGGTCCTTTGAACGCACTCTGGGGTACAATTTCCCTTCAGAAATCGTGGCTTTTATAGCAACGTTTGTGAAATCGTATTTGGTGCTACCTTTAAACTGCGATTGTATACGTCTCAATAGCCTCAAGGAAGATGTCTTTTCGAATTTCCGTGCAAAATAGATCCATTGCTGCAAGATCGGCTCATGAGCTGCGATAAAACCAAAAATCAAATCTCTATCAGCCTTTGTAAAGCTATCCAGAAGATCCATAAAACCAACGGCACCGCCAGAGTATGCCAGATAGTGCAGCATGTCTTCCAAGTCAAATTCGTCCAGATCATAGATGTTAATCAGTGCAGGCGAGAAGAAAAAGTGAGAGGGATTTTTGAGCTTTTCAGCGATATCGTTCATTGTGGCGAATAGCTTTTCTCCACGAAAGATGTCAACAAATGCCGGGTATTTCGTGTATGTATCGTTTAAACTGAAGCTTCCAGCAACTGTTGTTGCAAAGTCATCTGTAAATCCAACCTTTAAATTATCAAGTACAGCATCAGATATTCCAAAAGGTGAAGGGTTTGCAGCGACTAAATTTGGATCTTGCACGTTTTCATGAACCTCTTCTTGCTCTTGAATAGATTTTTGCTCTTGGGTGGATTGTACAACAGTCTCGCTATCCCATACAAGATTTTTGGTAATCGATGCAATGGATGGCATTTTAAAGGAAGGGGGGAAAAATTTCCCTCCCTCGCTAGCTTGAAAGAATTTAAAAATGTCACGCTTTGCGATTCTCTCAGAAAAAAGATCTATTTAAGCTGCTCAATAGATTTTGATCGTTCAGGTTGAGAATCCTGTCCCAGCTAGGAATTCGATCGTCTGCACAGGAATAGGCGGGACATCACAAGCTCTTCAAAACCATGGGAAATAATTCGTGCCAGCGGAGAAGAGCTCTTTCTTTATGATCTCTCTTGAGCTGATTCAGGTGGGCACAAGTAAAAACCTTTTGCAATTCAGCAGTGCGTGCTATCAGACTTTACAGCGCTCAAAAAAAATTGCTTTTCAATCATAGTTTTTCCTGTCTCTCTGGCTCAACATTGAACTGATAGCTTTTTCATACTGGAGCATTGAATAAACAAACATCTTAATCTGGTGGCGTGGATATTTTTTAGGCTGAGTGTACTGATTAACAGTCGAAATTCCATTCAGCAGCTTTCGGGCTCTTAAGAGCGCTTGGTAAAAACTTTTAGTGTACACAAGGGTCGAGAAAGTAACCACGCAAACTGCAAATGGATTGTTGACATCGACATTGGTTCCAAAGCAATGGGCCTGGTCAAGATACAGCAAAATCTTGTCGTTTTTCAAACCATACTTGGTTTTAAGAAACAAAAATTGGCCCTCTACAGGCAAATCCCACCCGATTCTGCCAGTTTCCGTTTGATAAACAATCACATTTTCTTTTTCATCGTAATAGACGACGCAATTGTATTTCTTTGAATCCAGGATTTCGTGTGCTACCATGGATTTGGAATGAGTCTTCAAAAGAGCACCGACATCAAACAATTGTGTAGTTCTGGTTTCCAAAATGAAGGCCATCAAAGAATCAAATTGGGCATCTTTTTTGCTACGAAGCCTCAGATTTTGACTTCAAGATAAAATAAATTCAGTGGGAGATGATACAAGCCGATCAGAAGACGTTTTGATGTTTTCCATCACTACATGCTTCAAAAAAACCTTGAGATTGTCTTCATGTTCATATATCTTTTCGTTTAAATGGTTGAAATATTTGAAAAGGAATGGGTTGATTTTTTCTTGATTTTTCTAGTTCCTCATAATCATAATAGAGCTCCAGGGTAGAATACATATTTTCGTTTTTGAAGAATAAAGGTGGCTCATTGAGATCTTTCATTTCGTTTTCAAGGTTAAACTTTATCGAAATGGCAATGGCAAATAACTGGTTTCCAAGACTTCTGCCTTATCTTGGTGTATTTTTCATCGAATATGGAATGGAATATGAAAATAGAGATTCCATGGATGCTCCACATCCCAAATTTCAGATCTTTTCGCAGCAATCGACAAAAGGACAATCGGCGATCAACGCGCGAGTTTTCTTGCTGCTATTTTTCAAAATATTCTCGAGCTTCTTGTTCAATATCTTTTTGAAGGACTCCGTATAAGATCGCGTAAGAGGCTCCTTGATCTCAAAAATCGTAATATTTTCTCCAGTTTGCGTTTTGAATACCTTGTTGTCTCTCAAAGACAGCAAACAGTCAATAAGCACATCAATGACCTTCGAGTCTTTTTCTGCAACGACAGTTCGTTTCTGGCATCAAGCAGCCATTTCTTTGATCTTGAGGAATGCGAGCACATTGGATTGATGTCAAAAGAACGGGGGGCAGAGATCGATGAATTTCTACAAAATTTGATGAAAGCGTGGCGAGTTTCCTGCATTTCCGGTAAATTTCCTAAATTGCATATAATTCGGGTGATTGTGTATAAATTTGTGAATTGCCTTTAAATTGGATGTCACTAAATATTCGAGTTCTCATCTTTTAGTTTGTTCACCAATTAATTGCATGTTTGCAGTAAATTTAATTTGTGTTGATGTTCTGCAGCTCATGTAATAAGCACCCAAAACTTGAACTAATTAGCCAAATAACTGGCCTTTTCATATAATTTACTGCTCCCTTTTCAGCTGTTCCAAATTGACCCATATTGCGGTTTTTGGGCCGTTTGGAGCGCTGCGCATGTTTTTCTTGCGTTTCTTGGACATTTCCTGTTGTTCCATATCATTTCTGACCGTTTTCGAGACAATAAAATTTTCGACATTTTTTGACATTTTAAGCATGGCATGGTTGGAGAGCAATGGATCAAATTATTTGATATTGGCTAATGATTACATGTTTTGGACACCGCTTTTTTTGCCTTTAGACCCACCTGGGCAACTTCATTTTCCGCCTTCGCCGCAAAAATCCAGGAAAACCATCACTACACCCCCTTTGGACCATCTGCTGAACTCGTGTTAATATGATCTTTTTAAAAACCTTGTTGCCTAGTTTCCCTCAAATACGTATTTGTCTAACCTGTGAATCCAATCCAATTCAATCCAATTTAATTCCGCCTGCACTCTGATTCGCCCATCTGTCCTAGTTGCAGCTTTCACCCCATAAGTTCGTTTATTAGAAAATAAAGCATAGTAAAACCTAACACTAACACTAAGCCTAACCTCTTTTTCATCGGCACCTGAAGTTACAAAAGTTCTTGACGAAGCTGGGGATTTTCTTCATTGGCATCTGAAGCGACAAAAGTTTTTCTTGGTGGAGCTTTCCAAATTAGTATAGTTTTCAGTGCTTGATCTTTCAGAACTTTTTTAGCTTCCAGATCTTCGATATACTGCAGAGGTTCCAAAGCTTCCTGAATTATTTCAGCTTTCAGGCCTTTTGGAGCCAGATATTTCTCACTTTTCAGATCTTCCAGACAGTTCAGAGCTCCCTGATAACTTCTATGAACTATTGGTCCTTCTGTATCGGGTTCGTGAATTATCATATCTTTCAGAGCATCATGAGCTTTCTGAATTACTATAGTTTTCAGAGCTTTCAGAGCTTGCAGGGGTTTTTCATCTTCCAGAACTTTTAGAGCTTCCAGTGCTTTTAGAACGTCCAGAGCCTTCAGAGCTTTCAGACCTTTCAGAGCTTCTTTAGCTTTACGATTTTCCAGAGTTTGAGGCTTTTCATCTTTTTTAGCTTTAGGGTATTCTTTAACTTTTAGAGCTTCCAGAGCTTTTAGAGCTTCCAGAGCTTTTAGAGCTTTCAGAGCTTTTTCATCTTTTAGAGCTTTCTCATATTTTTTAGCTTCTAGAGCTTCTAGAGCTTCCAGAGCCTTTTCATCTTTTAGAGCTTTCTCATATTTTTTAGCTTCCAGAGCTTCCAGAGCAAAATGAGCTTTCTGAGGTTTCTGAATTAGTAGAGCTTCCAAAGCACCGTGAGCTTTTTGAAATAGTATGGCTTTCAGAGCTTTCAGAGCTTTCAGATTTTTCAGATCTTGCATACCTTCCAGAGCATCCAGAACACACAAAGTTTCCTGAATTAGTAGAGCTTTCTCAGCTTTCTCAGCTTTCTCAATTAGTAGAGCTTCTAGAGCACGATGAGCCTTCTGAGCTAGTAGAGCTTTCTTAGCTTTCATAATTAGTAGAGCTTCTAGAGCATCATGAGCCTTCCGAGCTAGTAGAAAGTCATGAACTTTATGAATTAATAGAGCTCCCAGATCTGCCAGAGCTCCCAGAGCTTCAAGAACTTTCAGAGCTTCTTTAGCTTCTAACCCGTTCTGAAATATTATAACTCTCAGAGCTTCGAAGGGTGTTTGATCTTTCAGAGCTGTTAAAAGTTCATGGACTTGCTGAACTTTGCGAGATTTAAAATGTCGTATTAGGGTTATAGCACCGTAAGCTTTCTCGATCAGCATAACTCCCTGATCTTCCTGATCTTCCTGAGCTTCCAGAGCTTGCAAAGCTTCTCGAAATTCCAAATATTCCTGATCTTCCTGATCTTCCAGAGCTTCCTGATCTTCGTGAGCTAACCAATCCGATAGAACTAGTTGAACTTTATGAGGTTTCTGAATTAGTATAGCTTCCAGAGCATCACGAGCTTTCTGAATTAGGGTAGCTTTCAGAGCTTCCAGGGGTTTTTGATCATCTTTCAGGGCTTCTAGAGCTTTCTGAATTAGGATAGCTTTCAGAGCTTCTAAGGGTTTTTCGTTTTCCTGGGCTTCCAGAGCTTCTTTAGTTTTTTTATTTTCTAGAGCTTGAGCTTTTTGAGCTTCTTCATCAGATAGAACTGATTGAGTTTCCTGAACTTCCTGAACTGGCGATACAACCAACCAATCTGATAGAGCTGATGGAGCTTCTTCATCAGAAATAACTGATTGGGTTTCCTGAGCTTCCTGAACTGGCGGTACAACCAACGAATCCGATAGAGCTGATGGAGCTGAAGTGACAAATGTTATTTTTGATTGAGTTTTTGGATCCTCTCTTTGATCAAAAGCTGATGAATCCTCATTAGAAAGATCTTCGAAATCGGATCCCAATTCACTGTCTTTATGATCAGAAGTTTCTAAAGATGTATCAGATTTATCTTTTAAAGGCTTTTTTGATTTTTCTGGAAGCTTCGGTTGTATCTCATTTACTAGAGATCCGAAAAC